AGATTTCACTGTCTCTGCCATGCATGGAGATATGGACCAAAAGGAACGAGATGTGATCATGAGGGAGTTTCGATCTGGCTCTAGCAGAGTTTTGATTACCACAGACCTGCTGGCCAGAGGCATCAATGTGCAGCAGGTTTCTTTAGTCATCAACTATGACCTTCCCACCAATAGGGAAAACTATATCCACAGAATCGGTCGAGGTGGACGGTTTGGCCGTAAGGGTGTGGCTATTAACATGGTGACAGAAGAAGACAAACGGACTCTTCGAGACATAGAGAACTTCTACAACACCTCCACTGAGGAAATGCCTCTCAATGTTGCTGACCTCATCTGAGGGGCTGTCCTGCCACCTAGCCCCAGCCTGAGCTCAGTCTTGGGGGGCTGAGGAGTAGCAGGAGGGGGGAGGGAAGGGAGCCAAGGGATGGACATCTTGTCATATTTTTTTCTTTGAATAAATGTCACTTTTTGAGGGAAAAAAAGTGCCTCAAAAAGGCACTTTTTTTTTTTTTTTTTTGAGACAGAGTTTTGCTCTTATTGCCTGGGCTAGAGTACAGTGGCACAATCTCAGCTCACTGCAACCTCCGCCTCCTAAAGATGGGGTTTCTCCATGCTGGTCACTCTGATCTTGAACTCCCAACCTCAGGTGATCTGCCTGCCTTGGCTTCCCAAAGTGTTGGGATTACAGGCATGAACCACTGCACCCGGCCTGAAGTCATTTTTTTAAAGTTTAGTGATTTCAATAGAATACCTGAGCTTCAGCATGAGTCATCTTTCTCCTTTCCAATAATCTATTATTTAATGCCATAAGAAAGCAATTGTGTTGATAAGGCAGTTTTTCTCTTCACTGCATGCATTTAAAATTTTGGTTATAATTAAATGCCTCTTTGTGGGCTGTAAAAAAAATTATCATGTTTTTCTGCCCAACAATGGAGGAACAGGTGTAAGAGAGCTATATTTGGAGAAAGCCAGATATAGAGGGGATTAAATATTAACCTATTCAGATGGTGATTATGACATTTAGTTTGGGCAACATGATATTGAGCTAAAACTCTTGCATAATACTAGATGGGCTGTAGTGGCAAAAATATGAGTAAAAGTCCCAGAAAAAAATGTCACTGATGGGCCAGGCACGGTGGCTCATGCCTGAAATCCCAACACTTCGGGAGGCTGAGGCAGGAGGATTACTTGAGGTCAGGAGTTTGAGACCAGCGTGACCAACATGGAGAAACCCTGTCTCTACTAAAAATACAAAAAATTAACTGAGTGTGTTGGCGCATGACTGTGATCCCAGCTACTTGGGGGGTTGAGGCACAAGGATTGCTTGAATCTGGAGGCAGAGGTTGCAGTGAAGTTAGATTGCACCACTGTACTCTAGCTCGGGCAATGGCGAGACTCCATCCCAAAAATAAATAAATAAGATAAATGTAAAGTCTTTTGCTGGTACTTCCTAGTTTGAGAAACTTCTATTGTGAGGGGTTTTGATTGTGTTTATGCAGATATGTTTTCTTTACCATGGTGTAGTCATAAGACAAAGAGTAGAAACCTGGAAGATGCAGCCTGTTCTGGAGGGAGTTAATGGAAGCAATATAAATTTTTCAGCTGAAGAAAAATACCTCACAACCTATTGTTACCTTTTTTTTTCTTCAGATGAAGTTTTGCTCTGTCGCCCAGGTTGGAGTGCAGTGGCACAATCTCAGCTCATTGCAACCTTTGCCTCCCAGGTTCAAGCGGTTCTCTTGCCTCAACCTCCTAAGTAGCTGGGAATACAGGTGTATGCCACTACACCTGGCTATTTTGTGTGTGTATGTGTATTTT